CCTGTACATAAAGCTGTGCTCCAGAGATGGATTGAAGTGCACGGGAAAAAATGGGAGCCTGGCGTATCACCACGGCAGCGAGTTACTCTTACCACAGTGGCACTTGGGGACGAGGAAAATAATCCTGTTCTGTCCATCCTACAAAACTGTCAGCAGTTTTATTTGAATGATTGCTTACAGAGTCAATACAGTAGGTGTACAGTCTCTGTTTCAATGCTCGTCACCTTCACGATCTGGTCTCTCTCTCCCAGTCTTTTATGCACTGCTCGGTCCTGCATCCCAGCTAGAGCTGATAAATCAGCTGGATCTCTCCACAGAAATGACGCCCCTTGGAAGTGATGACTGTAGTTGTGTAGCCTTGTGATGTTGGCACATGTGTCTGTAATAAACTCGACTGCAGTGGCCAAGGACCACCTGAGACCCCTCTGGGCTTCCCTCTGTGGCCAGGACCAGGCCAGGCTGGGGTGTTGGACAGCCCATAGGATGTTTGGAAAGAGGGTTTTCCTCCTGTTTAGCAAGTAATTTAAAAAACTTTTTTTAATATCAGTACTGTATCTTCTGAGACTTATTTTTGGTTTTACGGAAGATTTTACATCAGGAGCATCAATAGCATCTACTCCCTTTAGCTTGTTAGGCTTGACTTAAAGGCAGTTAAAAAAAAAGAAAAAGCTTTCCATTTCCTTTCATACATTGGCAGATCATGGACAGAGCATACAGAGGAACATCTAAAACAAGGCTCAGAACAAATAAACCCACCCTTTTGACCCTCGAGTTCAATGTATTTAGCAGCAATTGTGACTGTTTAGCAAAAAATCCTGTCCTTAACACGAGTTGGTGTCCATTTACTGCAGATCTGCAACCTCTGATTTGTGCAAATGATTTCTCAGCTGTTAGTTCCTGTTGGGATCTAAAAAAAAAATTGAATTCCCAAAAAACTCTAGCAAAATTAACTAAGTTCATCCATGTGCTCCAAGAGTTTCTGTGCTCTGACGGTACCTGAGAAGCAAACGTGACGTGACACCACAGCTTTGCCCTGGAGAGTTTTCTTTCTTTCCTTGAACTGCATCAGGTTTCTGTGACAATGTTTCCATGACAGAATACCAGCTTGTCCTGTGAAATAATTTTAAATTTCAGGTTTTAAGTCTTCTCTAAACTGGGAAAGCATGGCAGGGTGAGAGAAAAGGTTCCACTTCCTAAAATAATGCATACAAAGTGTTACGTTAACTGCTGTGCTATCCAGAGTAGCAAACTTAAAATAGAACAGTATTTAAAGAAAAAACAAACAAACAATTACAACCTACCTACTTGAATGGTCCTAAGTGTATAACCTGTTATTCTGCTTTTTCAGTTGAGTTTCCTGGTAGGATGGCCTGAGTTGAGGTTGTCTTGGGATACTCCTCTCTGAGCTGCTGGGAATTTGCTGTCTGTCTTTGTTGTTTTCTTTTTTTGTGTTTGGTTTTGGGGTTTTTTTTGGTTGGTTTATTTTTTTAGTGAGCTATTTCCAAAGGGTTCCTATGGTGCTCCTCAGTTCATCAGCTTGTCCTACCTAAGCATTGTTAGGGAAAGGTTTTGCAGTCAGTAGTAGTGACAAGGCTTTCACAATTTATTTTTACTTTTTATTTTTAACCAAAGAAAAATAAATGGTGGTTGTGGCTCTTTGACTTTTAAATGCCCATTAGGTTAAATCTGTACACTGCTATTTAGTAGAAGGCAATATATGGCTGTATATGACAATAGCAAAAGACTGAAAATAAGCAATGCTGGTATTTAACTTGTGTTTGAAATGTCCTTTTGTGTTGCATCTCAAGTAGCTGCTCATTCCCTGGGAATGTCACTGCATTGGTTACTGCAGAAAATGAAGTATTTATTTGAATTCTATTTAAATCTGTAAGAATATGCTGTTCCTTTCCTTCTGGTCCTAGGTAGTCCTAAAGAAAATATCTGAATGGTTATTTTTCAGATGTGGAATGTGTCACTGCCTCATGGAATGTATTCCCTTGTGTCCCATCAGGCACAAAACTGGCCCAGCTGCACCTTCCTCCATGTGTCACAGGTTTCAAAGCCCTACAGTCGTGTCTTGAAACAAGTCTCAATTTTGAGATCTTAAATGACTTCACAGTTGCTTCCTGGGCTTTCTTTACTCTAAGGGGCAGCATTTGCACTCTCTGCATGTAGGATAAGGATGTTTAATCCATCCTTCCTTTCAGCCTTTGGTCTGAGGCTGTTCTTTTCCTTAAGAAAAGATTTTGTTGTATTTACACCGGTTATAAACTGCTGAAGTGTGGGGTATGTGACATCCAGCCACGCCAAGGAGGGGGACTGGGATGCAATGGGATGGTCAGAGCCTTCATCCTGTCCCATGGCCGGGTCGTTGTCTCCATCAGGGCAGCGAGCAGAGTGTGCAGGTTGTGTCCACAGTTTTCCTCACAGTCAGGGAGGGCAGAACCCCCAGTGGAGCTCAGCCCTCCTGCAGCTCTCCCGGCCTGTTCCCTCTCCCCGCCTCTGCTGCCAGGGGGTTTGTTGGCTCCGGTGGGACCGCGGGATTGTGCAATACACAGGGGGAGAACGGCACCTCTGGGACTTTTGGTGATTCAAAGGATTCTGTAACTGCTCTTAACACAGACTCCCCAGTTGTTGCTGTTCCGTCTCATTCCAGACCCCCTCAGGAGGGAGCTGGGGAGGATTTAACGAGGGAAACCCTAAAACTCCCTTTCCATGGCGATTAGAAACACCCCTCGTGTTGATTCTTTTGTGTCTTACAGTCCAGGAAAAAGTGGTTTTTAGGGCAGTTTGTTATCCATGTCTCCTGACTCACTTTCCAAACTGTAAACAGAGCAATCTCAAACAATGTCCACTGCAACCAACACACCCCAGATTTTAGCTCAGTCTTACTATTCAGAAGGAGAAAGATTAAAAATAGTAATTCTATCAAAAGTGCAGTTCCCTTTAATCTGTAAATTCAGTTTGTCCAGCACCTTTATTTGTGTAAAATGTATGTTTTCACATATTTAAAATGCCTAAGTTTTTTTAATATCTCCATATTAAGTGCATTTACTATCAATAATTTAAAGAGCATTTCTTGCCAATGGATGTATAGAGTTTTGACAGAATACCAAAATTATATAATATGAAAACCTATGTAAAGTTTTCTACATGAAAATACAATGTATAGTAGTTATAATATTCCATGCTTTAATCAAGTGATAAATCAATAAAGTTTTACGAAGCGTTGCTTCTTTGCTCCTGTAGTTTCTGAGGGGGCTCAGAGGCTGCGGAGCCTCCGGGGGTTCACTGCGGGCTCGGGGGGTTGGGGCTTTGTACCCCCGCCGTGTCCCGGTCCCGTGACCCCATCCCATATCCCGCTCCCGTGTCCTCCTTTCTCCATGTCCCTATTCCACATCCCTCTCCCTCCTGTCCCGCTCTCTCCGTGTCCCTATCCCGTGTCCCTATCTCATATTCCGTGTCCCATACCCCGTGTCCCGCTCTCTCCATGTCCCATACCCCGTGTCCCTATCTCCTCTCCCGTGTCCCGCTCTCTCTCCCCCGTGCGGGCCGGGCCGGGCCGGCGGCGGCTGCGAGCGGCGCCGCGAGGCCTTGTGGGAAGCGCACGGCCATTGGCCGGCGGCGGGCGCGCGGCGCTGATTGGCTGCGGGCGGCGCGCCCGGGGCCGGCGCGGCCGCTGATTGGCCGGGAGGCCGCGCGGTGTCACCGCCCCGCGCGATGCGGTCACGGAGCCGCCGCCGCGCCCCCGCCCCGCGGTTTGAATGTGAAGCGCAGCCGGAGCGCTCGGAGCCGCCGCCGCCGCCGCCGGGGGGAGCCGCCAGGTGAGGCCGGGCCGGGCCGCCCGCGGCCGCGACTGGGGCTGGGGTGTCCCCGCGCACCGGCGGCCCCGCGGTCGCCCCCGTGCCAACTGCGCTCCACGCCGCGCTCGGCGCTGGGCCCGCGGCGCGGCCAGAGGCGCAGCGCACCCTGCTGGGCCCTTCCGCCCGCCCCCCGCCGCTCGCCATTGGCCCGCGGCCGCCGGGCCTGCACGGCCCGCGCCCCTCATTGGCTGCGGCCGCCGCCAGTCCGGGGTGGCGGGAGGGGGAGGGGAGCGGGTTAGTGTGAGGGCTCGGGGGCCGCCCGGTCCCGCCGCCTCCGCACGGCCTGGGGCCACCTGCGGGGACACCCCGCACTGCGCGGCGCCAGCGGGGCGGCGGCAGGACGAACGGAGCGGCCCCGACCCGCCCGCGGCTGAACGGCCGGGAGTGGCCGGGAGGGTGCGGGGCCGGTCCCCACCGGGGAGCCCCGGGCCGCCCCGGCACCGCCTCGTCCCGTGGGAAAGCGGCGCGGCAGCTCCCGCTCCAGCCGGACCCTCGGCGGGGCCGCGGGGGCCATTCCCGGTGCGATCCCCCGGGCAGGCCGCTCTCGGCCCGTGGGGTTTTCCTCTCCATCGGGGCTCGGCGTTCCTTTGACCAAACCGGGGGATGCGTTGAGCACATTTTATGGGTCCTTCGAGGCCTTTTCTGCAGGCACGTGTCATAACGTAACACAGAGCATTGTACCGCTCCAGCTAAAGTGCCGCCAGCGTGTTTTGTAGGGGAAAACAAACATTAAGAGCTCGGGGAAGAGAAGGAAATAAGCGTGTGCAGGTAACAGGTCAAAACGTGCTGGTGGATGTGAATTGGTGAACAAGACTATGGACAAGTAAACCCTTAGAAGGAAGGGAAACAGGGGAGGCAGGACGCCCAAGGGGGATATTTACTTTGTACAATATATACTGGGATCTGAATTCCTCGTTAATATTCATTTAAATCAAGAGAATACCGTTACTGTCTTTTTTAATTCTATAGGTGCCATAGCTGCTGTAAAAACTGTGTCAGTAAAGCTCACTGCCTTTGCAAATGTGCTTGAATAAAACAGTATTGCAGCGATAATCAGCATAAACCAACTCCAAAATAGGACAGGTGAATTTCAGTCAGTCTTGCTAATTAGAAACTGCAAAGGAAAACTGGAAATCTTTGCTTCCTTGTTACATCTGTAGCCGGTGAACTGTGTTGTTGGTAACAGGAAGGATGGGCAGGGTTGATGGTGATGTCCTGAGCAACAGCATGTCCATTAAAGCACAACTTGCTGTTGGAGTGTTACTGTAATATTCATTATTCCAATTAAAGCTGTGGAGTAAATATATCACTGTGGTGTGCATGGAAATGTGTGTGGGAGGATTACTGGAGAGGAGCACTATAGACTTATTGCACAGAGTCACTCTGTAATAAGTATTGCATTTGAATTAACTTCCACCCTAGTCTGAACTAATTTTACAGGGGGGACAGATACTCTGGCTTTACACAGTCTTTTGTCTCTCCATAGAAAAGTATTTTCTTCTGGCATTTTTCTTTGATAATGAGTATTTGATTTTTAAACAAACCTCGACTCTTCAATACACTTTGAATTGTTTTATTTACAGTTATGTAGGGCAGGACTATTCACCTTTTTCAACCAGGAGCAGATTTCTGGGGCTGACAGCAGTTCTGAAAGCCAAACTCCTGATGTCCTGAACGGGCAGGAGAGGATCTTTTGGCTGGTTCATATTTGCTGGCTGTGTGAGCCTCTTCTGGAGTTTGGGTCCCTAACCCAGTTACCTGGAGCTGGAGGAGTGGGATGTTTCCTGTGCCTGCTGCACGGTGGCTCCTGCCCTGGCTGGGGCTGTGCTGGGGAGGTGTCATCAGGAGGAGCTGATGTGTGGCCTCTGTGGGATCTGTTTTACATGTGTAGCTTTAGCACAGATTTTCCGATCTCTGCTTGTAACAAAACTACTTGTGGGTTTTAGGTTCTGCCAAGATGGAGCTGAGTGATGCCAATTTACAAACTTTAACTGAGTATCTAAAGAAAACACTAGATCCAGATCCTGCTATAAGGCGTCCTGGTAAGTGATTCTCACGAGTGATCAAAAAAGTTCAATTTCTTTTTGGCTCTTCTGTCTGTGTGTAGCCAACTTGTGGATATTTATACAATAACCTTTTTGCAGAAGTTCTTGGTATCCTTTTAAAACAACTCCCCCCCAAAAAACTAAAGAAGGATAGATATAAATATAAGTAAATTTATTTGCTTTTTGTGATTTTATTTTTCTGTATTCTTGGTTTATTTTTTTTTGTACCGTTGTTATTTAAAACAGCATTGCTGTTCACAATAAGCCAAGATTTATTTCTCTTGGCTTATGGCTTTCAAGTGGTGAGGAGGCAACATTTCCCCATCCTGCAGGGAACTGAGAGCTGCTGGTGGTGGCAGGAGTGTGGAAGAGCTCAGCAGCAGAGAAGCTGTGGTACCTCTTGTCAGGCTCGTTCCTGTGGAGCTCTGGGGAAGTGTTTGTGTGTTGGTTCTTTTAAAGCAGACATTTGTGGAATGGTAGGACTCCCATTAGAGAAAGCAGCTTTTGCTGACTCCCTTATATTCCCCTGCAGCTGAGAAGTTCCTCGAGTCCGTGGAAGGAAGCCAGAACTATCCATTGTTACTCTTAACGCTGCTGGAGAAATCACAGGAAAATGTCATCAAAGTTTGTGCATCTGTAACGTTCAAGAATTACATTAAAAGGAACTGGAGAATTGTAGGTATCCTAGTGAGTAGTTGATCATCCCTTGAGGGTACAATAAGATGCTCTGCAGTGACCCTGAGCAGTGTGTGTGTCTGTGCTCTGGGAAGGGCAGAGTTCAGAGAACAAAGTCAAGGTGTAACTTAGTAAGAAGGGACTAAAACCTGGGCTGTTGGAGTCAGTCCTGTTAAAACAAAACTGGAGCTGGGTGATCAAATGATGAACAAATATTTTTCTCTAATGTTATACGAGTATTTTGCAGACACACAATATTTAAATCTCATTTAACTAACTAATATTATTTGAACTGGAATGATTATGAAGCATCTCTCCACACGAGTTGGCCATTGGGCCTCTGTCTGTTGTCAGGGCGTTACAAACATCCCCAGCCAGCCCTGCAGCTCCAGGTGATGGTACCAGCTCCTCCTCTCTTCTCTGCTGGGGCACAGAATTGTCTGGGGCAGTTTATTTTGGTGCCCTGCCAGTTTAACACTTGGAAGTATTTGTTGTGATCAAATAGAAATATTGCTGTTCAATCCCATCTTATCCTTTGTTTTGAAGAGGACAGAAATATTTCTGATTCAGAGCTTTCAGCATTCATGAAATTTATATAATGGTAGAAAGTCTTGCATTGAGAGGTGAACTTCTCCAGTGCTGAGAGGTTTTAATTGATACTGCTTGTACTTCACTGAAGGTACTGTCTGTATGTGTCTGAAAAATAGCAGATGTTTCTTTACTACAGAGAAACTGAAATATTTTATCATTACATCTTAGCTGGTACCTATTTCCAAATTGGGATGTGATTTCTGCCCTCCCCATCACACCAACATTGAGGAGCTACAGCAGTCCTGGGCCTGGTTGTGCTCAATAACATGAGCACATTCAGTCTGCCATGACATTTCTAGAACTTTCTCGCTGTAATACTGTGTTCTTAGTCATTTCTCCCAAATTGCATCTTCTGTGGTGTATTTTGAGTAGAAATAACGTTCTGTTATGGAAGAAGTTGTAAGTGGCTTCTTTTTATGGATTGCTGATGTAATTCAGGATGGGGGTTTGTTCTGAAGTAGGTGGAGATGCTGTGCAGGGAGTGCATCCCGAGGCCTGTTCCCATTGCTCTGTGGCTCCAAGCACATTGTGTTGTCCAAAGTTGCAGCTTTTGTTTCAGGAGCAGCTGTTCTGAACAGGAAATGCAGCCGTGGGCCTGGCCTGCCTCGATCACAGGGTTTGATTCCTCAGCCTTGAACTTCACTGATCCAAAGCTCAGTAAAAGGGTTTTGCCTGTTCAAGGACTTCAGTTTGTTCCAGCCTGGAGAGGCAGATGTACAGGGCACTGCTCCAGCCAGGGAAGACCTTGCTGGGTTTAGTTTATTTCTGAAGTATGTGCAGAATACATGCTGCCTGCTGCCTTTCATTTCTTTGAAAAATCTCCTCAGTAATTCCTTAGGAGGAATTGCTGTTGGTGGTCACTCCACCACCTCTGTCCTCATCTCTCTAAATGCCTGGCAGTGAGTCCTGCCTCCCTGCTTGGAGCTTCCCTAGGACAGCTGCAAAAAACTATTTCAAAGTTTGACAGAAAGACGTCATTTCTTTCAGCTGTTCTCAGGTGCTGCTGTTTCAGGTTCATTGCAGGCAGAGTCTGTAACAGCTCTGGTTCTTGGGTTCTTCAACAATGTAATAGTTACATAAATCAGTATAAACAGTTGAAAATGCTGATCATCACTCATTGCCTGGAGTATACTGAATATGCTCATGACTTAATTATTGTTTTCATTTTAGGTTGAGGATGAACCAAACAAAATATGTGAATCAGACAGGATAGCCATTAAAGCCAACATAGTGCCCTTGATGCTTAGCAGCCCAGAACAAATTCAAAAGCAGGTAATATGCCAATTCCTAGTTATATCCATGAGACTTTTGGAATATTCAAAGCATGTCTAGAGGCTTTGGTTATTTGCAGAGCTCAGTTCCCTTACCAGTGAGCTCATGCTGATCAAATAACTTGGAGTATGTTGTTATAATTACTTTTACCCATTTTAGTATTTTTTAAGATAATGACTGTATAATCTTATAATAAGTTCTAGCCTTAGGCACTTGAACAGTAATTCTAGAAAGTGAGACTGTGTGTACACATTGAACTTTAAGTGAGATTTTTGTATTTGTGGTGAAAAGTAGGAGGTATTTAACCCAATGGTTTTGAATCTGACAAGAACAAGCGTCATTTTCTGGAGTGTTTGCAGCAGCTGCACTGCTGTGGTTCCTGTGCTGTTCTGCCACGTGACAGCTGCACTTCCTTTGCAGTTAAGTGATGCCATCAGTATTATTGGTCGGGAAGACTTTCCTCAGAAGTGGCCAGACCTGCTGACAGAGATGGTGAATCGCTTCCAGAGCGGGGATTTCCACGTCATCAACGGGGTCCTTCGCACCGCTCACTCTTTGTTTAAAAGGTGCCGGCAACAAGGGGGTTTGTGGATGGGTTGTAAACTTTCTGTTCAGCTGTTAGACTTAACCTTGGAGATTTAAAAGTCTACAGTTGTGACTTCTGCATATGCCTTTCAGTGGTTATCAAATTGTGCACCTTGCACGGTTCTGAACTATGTTGTTTAGTTCTTGTTTACTTGGCAGAATTTGTTTCAAAGTTCAGCGCAAACAAAATAATTCTGGGTGAGTTAATTTGGTAATAAATGTGAAATATGAATTCTGTTTTACATGTGTTTCACTTGTCAGGTACCGCCATGAATTTAAGTCAAATGAATTATGGACAGAGATCAAACTTGTTCTTGATGCCTTTGCTTTACCCTTGACAAATCTCTTTAAGGTATTTCTTGTTGAATCATTTCTAAAACAAGTTTAATGTTCTGAATTGCTTTTTGTGGGTGGCTGTAAAATTAAAACTCAAGAATAGTTGTTATGAAGCTGTTAATGAAGTTCAAGCCGAAGTCATGAAGTGAGACCCAACAGGATTGATGAGGGGAGGAGAAATTACTGCATTTTTCGGTTAAACAAACAAGACACTTCAATATCTTTTGTTGATGTGGTTCTTGTACTTGACTGGATCTTGCATTTTTTTCTAGGCAACTATTGAACTTTGCAGCACACATGCAAATGATGCCAGTGCCCTGAAGGTTCTCTTTTCTTCTCTCATTCTAATTGCGAAGCTGTTCTACAGTTTAAATTTTCAGGTGAATCTCCTTTTAATGGTTTTGCTTTGATCTCATGAAGTTGCTGTGCTCCTACTATAGAATTCATTTGAGACAGCCTTTAAGGCCGTGCTTTATGGTAAAAATAACAGTGAACAGTGCATCAGCACTGGAGTAAAGGCACAGGAAGGCTGGGGTTAATTAATGTTTTAGCTTGGCCCTATCTAAACACAAGTTTAGGGGAGTCTGAGCTGGTGTCACCACAAGGAGGGGCTGTATGGGGGCCCTGAATAGGAGCTGGGAGAGGCAGGAGTCAAATGCCTGAGTTTGTACTCACTGTGCTCCTTTATAAACGTGTCTGTGCTGACAGGAACTTGGTCCTGCAGCTGAAAGTCTGTTACATGTAGTAGCTCCACTGCAGTGGCAAGTAATGCTGGGAGCAGGGTGGGGTGTTAGGGTTTGGAATCAGATCTAAACTTCAGACATTGATTAGTGTGCTATATGGAAAATGGCAAAAAGCTCCTTTGCTGGGTGACATCTGTTTAGTGTCTCAACATGAACACGGATCTGTGAAGTGTGATCATGCCTGGATTCCTTGGGCTGTGCTTCCACAGGGGGCAAAAGAACAAGCTGGAGTTAAAAGGGACTTGTGCTCTCTTGTTCAGAGAGTAAGAGGCAATAAGGTTCATTTGTTATAAAAATATGAGCTGTTTAGGGTACAAGCAAATAGTTTATTTGGAAATAATTGTATTCCAGAGCATTTGCCAGGAGGGTTTTCATTTGGGAGGAGGAGGGAGCAGTGTTTCACTTTAAAGATTGTTTTCCTCAGGTTGTTGTCCCTCAGTAGGTTATAAGGTGGATGCACTGCTTACAGTGTAGGTGTGTTATCTGAGCAGTGCAGTCAGAAATTAAAATGGAGATTTATGCTTTCCCTTCACAGGATCTTCCAGAGTTTTTTGAAGATAACATGGAAACATGGATGACAAATTTTCATAGTCTTTTAACTTTAGATAATAAACTGTTGCAGACTGATGTAAGTACTGCATAAACCTCCTGGTTTGCCTCTGTGTGGGGGAGAGGGTTGGCTGCGAACTTGTGTCTAACTCTGAACAATGCAATGTTTTCTTGGTTGGGCAAACAGAGGAGTAGAATGACTATAATGAGGTTTAGGAGAAGGAATTTGAAGTGCAGTTCTTGATGCTGTATGTCAGTTATAGGTATACCCCAGCTGTGCACAGAAATCAAATTACAAATACTTGTCAGTGAGTCGATCCTTGAAGACATCTGCTGAAGTGACCTGACCATTGGCATCACAGTGCTCAGGTTTTCTGTGCCTCAGCTGGTTCATGCACAGTGTTCTAGAAAACAGGGTATAAAGAACCTGAACCAGTTGAACAGGGAGGGCAGGACATCCCTGAGTACTCGAGCATTTGCTGTCTTTGTCTGACTAAAGAATTAGTAATTTCCCTGGTGAAAGATGAAACTCAGAGTATTTTTGTGCATGCTTTCTGCATTTTGAGTGCTAGTCTTCCAGACACAGCACAGTAGTTTGCCACTTGACAGAGCCAAAACAACTCTATAAATTCCTTGACAGCACATAGGGAGGCATGTGAAGGGATCTTGTGCTTTATTAGCCTGCTGCTAAAAGCAGCTTTGCTGCTCTTCTCTCCTGTCTGCTCCCAGCACAGACACTGGTGCAGCTGAAGGTGGGGGTGGAGGGGAGAGGGGCAGAGAGGCAGAACTGAGGTGGTGTTTGATTGGGGTGGTTTTTTAGCTCCAGCTCAATTTCCTAATTCACCCTGTGGTTCCACAAGCACCTGTGCTGATCTGGGGAAGGGGAGGGAACTACAACTCTTCCAGTTTAAAGTATCATGATATAATGTCTTCTAAGCATATTTTTTCAATGCCTTGTGTTGTCTTTTTCCTATGACATTTGGAAATTAATTTCATGTAAATTATTGGGTCTGAATGTTTTAAAGTGCACAGTACCTTGATTTGAAACGTAAGTATGATTTATAACTTGGAGAGCAGTTGGGGTACAGACCAGCAAAATACAGTAATTCCAGGGACACGAGAGGGATTTCTTTCACCTGTTTAGAACATGATAAAATTCCTTTAAATATATGGATACTTTTAATGTTGAAGTAATGTTGAAGTTTGGATGTTTAAGTTCTTAGTTTTGTTTTATGTGAGGATGAAGAGGAAGCTGGATTACTGGAGCTCTTGAAATCACAAATCTGTGATAATGCTGCTTTATATGCTCAAAAATATGATGAAGAATTCCAGCCCTACCTGCCACGTTTTGTAACAGCAATCTGGAATCTGTTAGTCACGACAGGCCAGGAGGTGAAATATGACTTGGTGAGTTGTTATAAACTGATCTTGTCAGGTTTGATAATGAATTATAAATTGATCAGTCATGCTAAAGCTTTGTGTTCTGTTTGTGGTGCTGCAGCTGGTCAGTAATGCAATCCAGTTTCTGGCCTCAGTTTGTGAAAGACCACATTACAAGCATCTGTTTGAAGACCAGAATACTTTGACAAGCATCTGTGAAAAAGTTATTGTTCCCAATATGGAATTTAGAGGTAACTTTTGGAGACTTAAGCTTTCGAAAGCACAACCAAAATCTAGTTATAGTGACAAGTTGCTCTGCAGGACTAAGAATCGAGGATTCCCTCTTGTGTACTTTAGTGACAGATTCAAACCCAAGTTTATGCAGCAGATTGTCCTGTGGGGTTTGTAGAATTGTATAAATATACCTAATTTTTCATGTCAAAATCCCAGTGTAGCAAGTCTAGGTCGTGTGCCAGCAATAAATTTCCATGCTTAAAGTAAGTATCAGAATAATTCAAGGAGCCTAAACAGGCAGGAATATCAGGCCTTGTAATGTCCAGTTCTCCAGGTTTGGGTGGGCTCATATTGATCTTAGTATTTAAAATGCAGTGAAGGTGTATTGCAGTGAGAAGGAGCTGCTCTCTCTTAAGTCTGTTACTCTGGAAGCCTTTTTAAATACACCTGGTGTTGAATATGTCTTAGAGGTTTTGGGTTTGATTTTTTACAAGAAGTCAATACATTGGCTCATGAGTATGAAAGACTTAATTTGTGGGACAGGAGCAAGCTTAACAGTCTAGTCTGGCCAGATATTTCTGATTAATTTGTATTAATGTTACAGAACAGTCCTTGGAAAGACCAGCAAGTTGATGATGATACACCTTTTTACATAAAAACCAGAGACCTCAGCATTTAAACTTCTATGTATTTTATATTTTCAGCGGCTGATGAAGAAGCATTTGAAGATAATTCTGAGGAATATATAAGAAGGGATTTGGAAGGATCTGGTAATCCACAGATTTATACTAAGAATACTTGGTCTTTAAATATAGCTCTAAAGAGCTGTATTTACTGAAACTTTTATAACTTTATTTTGAAATTGAGAAGGTTTCCACACACCACCTCCCCAAGAGATTTTCTCCAGTCTTGGATCAAGTCTGCTGTCACGATGTGCCTGTCACAGTGTCTTTGTTTTGACCAATGTTTTTATAGGGCTTTTTCCTTAATTGGATTGTGAGTGGAGGACAAAACTCAAGGAACATGTTTTTGAACTTTTTTCAAGAGAACATTTTATCATTCTTATCCAGTATTGTCTGCCTTTTAGGTATTTGTAAAGCTTTTATTTGTTAGCTCCTTCTGCTTTTAAACAGAATTGAGGTAGGAAGTATTTGCGTTCTTCAGAGATTACTTTTTAGATGTCCTCTATTGCATTTGAATTGACTGGCTTGCTTTCTGTTTCTTCTGTCAGTAAGTTGAATGAAAGGCCACAAAACCTTTTTTTTTCCTGTCTTGAAACAAACAGAGTTTTTGATGGTTTGTTTTTGGCATTTGGGTTTTTTTTACAAAAATGTCCTTACAGGTGTGGTGGGCCAGCAGCTACAGTGGCCCCTGCTACAGTGGGATGAGTAGAAGTGAGAAGACTGATGGATAAAGACAGTTTAAGTGAAAGAAAGAGGAAGAAAAGAGAAGTCAATGACTCACCACCACCCACAAGTAGACTTTTGCCCAGCCTGGCTCTGAGCAGTGGCCACCTCTCCCAAAGCCCTCTCCCCTCAATTTTTATTGCTGAGCATGTCATTATATGTCATGGAGCATCCCTTTGGTCAGCTTGGATCAGCTACCCAGGTTGTGTCCCCTCCCACCTGCTTGCCTGCCCCAGACTGTGGGCTGGGAAGGCAGAGCAGGAGGAAGAGGAAGCCTTGACACTGTGACAGAGCAATTCAGCAGCAGCCAAAACACTGGGTGTTACCAACAGCTTTGGTCACTGGTACAAAACACAGCACCAGAGGGACTGCTTGGGAGAAAATGAACTCCCTCCCAGCTAAACCCAGCACATTTGGGCGCAGGGTGCCAGGGCAGCAGCATCCCCTGAGCCCAGGTGCCCTGCTCAGGGCAGGGGGGCCATGAACACATGGGTGGGTGTCTGTTCTGGGTGTGCAAACAGTCCCCTTAGGACAGGGAGTAAAGACTTCAGTGTGTGTGTACCCATCAGTGGGGAGCACTGCAGTGATTACCATGGGCTGTGGCTGTGACTTGAGAAGCTGTCTGTTAATATTTTGATTACTGTGTTTATTAACATGAAAAGCTGTGTACTTTCCCATGTCCAAAGAATCTTTGGTTCTCCTGCAGATATTGACACCAGGCGCAGAGCAGCTTGTGATCTAGTCAGAGGCTTGTGCAAATTTTTTGAAGGACCTGTGACAGGGATCTTTTCTGGATATGTTAATTCTATGCTGCAAGAATATGCAAAGAATCCATCTGTTAACTGGAAGCACAAAGATGCAGCTATTTACCTTGTTACGTCTTTGGCATCCAAAGCTCAAACACAGAAGGTACTTTTACATTCTCTTCATTGTAGTCTGTACACATTCAGATATAGTGTAGGTGAAGCCTACAGTTCATTTTAAGCTGCTTCAGAATGAGAGTAACTGCCTGTGCAGTGGGTGATGTTGATGAATTAAAAGCTGTCCATATAGTCCCGTGCCCGTTGGTAATTCAGTGGTATCTGACCTTCAGGAGGGCAGGGCACAGCCACCCCTGATGTGACTCTGGGCAGGACTGAGCACGTGGGATCAGCCAGACAGAGAAACAAAACTGGCTCAGGTCTGGAACCTCTGAGCTCTGAGTGGTCCAGAGCCAGAGTCTGAAAGCCATGGAAGGCAAATAGAGCTTTACAGAAGATGATCACAAGAGTTCAGCAGATCAGAAGGAATTTAAGTGCTCTTGAGTTCTTGTCATGATGTTTCCCAATGTTTCCTGTTACTTGAGTGTTCATTATTTGGAGATGGCATGTGAGTGGTAATGATGGCTGGAAATGAATCTCATTACTTTTGGGGGAGAAAGCAACTAATCATCTGGAGACACTGAAAAGCCACACCTGTATTTGGAAACAGGAGCATTGTATCAAATGTCCTACAGAACAAATTTTGATATACATATTTTGAAGGCTGTTACAGTTCAGAGCTCGGTGGCTTTGTAAGACAGATTTGAGACAAACATAATAAAACACACTGTACAGTGTTTTATGCAATTGTGCTGAAGGTTCTCAGTCTTTTCCTGAAGCCAGGTGTATTCTGCTGCCCAGCAGTAGTTATTAACAGTGATGTGTAATGGGAATCAGCCTGCTAGCAACTGGGAAACTGCAAAGTTATGCATCCTTTTCTGTGCTATTCAGTGGTAAATATGGGACAACATCACCTAGAACACTTCATTAGAAAATATCCATCTGAAAATCCTGGTTTAAAAATACATTGCATTTTTCCTAAGAGAAAACTAAGTAGTCATTATTTTGCTGCTCTAATTCACAATTGAACTTTGAGTCCTAAACTTTCCTTTTTAAAAAGCCTATCACAAAAAAAAGGATGCTGATATTGTTGATCTAAAATTTTGGCTGCTTATTACTGTTACATGGTATTATTCCTCAACTCAGAACTGGTAACTTTGAACCTCAGAAGTGCTACAGCTGAAATCAAGACACTGAAAACATTAAGCAAAGGAAACTGGATGACTCTGTCAAAAGATGCAGCTCCAACAATCTCCTCATGTGCATGCATGCTTTAGATTCCTTTTATTAAAAGCACATAAAAATGAGTAAGAAAATTAGTTGGATATCAGCATCTAAAAATAGAGTTGGTTTGTTTTTTGTTTTTCCAGCATGGAATAACCCAAGCCAATGAACTTGTTAATCTGACAGAATTCTTTGTGAATCACATTCAGCCTGATTTAAAGTCTGCTACTGGTAAGTGAATGTTAATTTTGATATGGTATTTTTGTGATATATCAGAACCTTGACAGTGACCACTGTTCCTGAAGTTTCAAGCACTCCTGTATCAGCCTGATCTCCAAGGCAGGGGCTGTTAACACTTGGCTCAGGGTTATGTGAGGTTATACATGTCTAGATTTAAGGCAAATAGTTTATTTTATGCTTCAACAATTATCTTACTATATTCAAAACATAGTGAGTTGTCTCAAAATGTGTAGTTGGAGGCTTTTAAACTTGGGGCCAGGAGGGGAAATTTCATCTGAAGGAGTTGGACTCTACTCTTAACGGTACTGGGGTGTGATTTGTACCAAAACTGGTGTTCTAACAGTGCCCATCCAGAAATGCAGGAACTAAGCAATACAGAGAAACATTGTCTGTATTATTTTTGAAGGGGAAAATGATGACTTAATGCCACCTCTATATATAGTATGTGTTCAGTAATCACATTTGTATGAAAAGTATCAACAAAGTTTGCATGTTTTTCTATTTCAGTGAACGAATTCCCTGTGCTAAAAGCAGATGGTATCAAATATATCATGATATTTAGAAACCAAGTAAGTTTTTCTTTTACTCTTATGGTAAAAACATACTGTAGTTTGTTACTTTATACTTGCCAAGCCCAATTTATCACACTTGGCCATATGTTAATTCAACAGGTGTTTGATAGTCATATATAGCACTTCATGCTGAATTTTTAGTTTAGAAAGTAAATGATATTGTTATAAATATCCAATTAACATGTAGTCTGTATGCTCTCCATATGCTGTGGGAACACTGAACATCTTATCTGCTTAGTTCTGACACACTCAGACTTTTTCAAGTCAGTGTGAGTCTAAATATGCTCGATTGCTCCTATCATTGCAGTGGGTGGTAAAGAGCACAACAACTTTATCCTTTACCTTTTCTGATTTGTGAGATGCAGTAAGAAAATATATTGACTATTATTTCTAAATTTTAGATTACCTTTAATAATTTCTTTTGAAATGCCTATGATTTTTTTTTTTTTTAAAGCTTGATATTCTTTAATTGCCCGTTAAGGGCAAAGTAAAATGGGAAGGGAAATATCCCTTAGGGATACCTGCACTTACTGTTACTGAAATGCACCATTGGTGCATCTCTTCGGGGGAAGGGATGAGAGAAACAGGCAGCTCCTGGTTGTCAAGGTGTGATGTAGCACTGGAGGAGCCTTCCAAGATTCCTCCCTCTGCCAAGCTCTGTGTGTCATGATGGGCTCAGTTGTGCTCCAGTGTTGAACCATCTGTATTTTTTAACATATGTATAATTTGTTGCTATATTTTTGTAGGTACCGAAGGAACAACTGCTGGTGTCTATTCCTCTCCTAATCAATCATCTCCAAGCAGAAAGTATTGTGGTGCATACTTATGCAGCCCATGCTCTTGAAAGACTGTTTACCATGAGGGGGACAAATAATACCACCCTGTAAGTTTTCAAGCAGAAATACAGTCACTGCTACGTAGGTTTTGTGCATTAAGGGTGAAAAATATCTGTAGGGGATCTTTCATTTAGTAGTATTACAGTATTATCCAGTATATTACAGTACATTCAATCACAAATTGAAGTTTGTGGCTGTCTTTCATCATTAAAGAGCTGTTTGCCTTCACAGCATTACAGCTGCAGAAATGGCACCGTTTGTAGAAGTGCTGTTAACAAACCTTTTCAAAGCGCTGACGCTTCCTGGCTCCTCTGAAAATGAATACATCATGAAAGGTAAATGCCTTGGGAGTTCTGCAATATAAGAATAACTTTGTTAACTTGAGGTAAGGGCTTATAGTCATAGGCTCCTGACACTTTTATTTGCAAAACCTAATTTATGCAGACATGCTGAAGAGTTCCACGCAGCCTGCAGTTACTCACCAGGCTGTATCAAGTCATCTTTGACTAAATTTATGGTACCAAAGAGAAACACTAAACATAATGGTGTTGTGGTAAATTATTTCTCAAGTGGTAGTCTCTCTAGTCAAGACAGCTACCTGGGCAGTGTCAGGAGGAGATCTGGTCATGGCTCACAGGAGATCTGAGACTCGCCCAGGAGAGGTGAAGGTCTTGGCAAAGTTGCTGAATCTTCTGTGTTCAGTCTGTAGAATGGGAATAATGAGGCTTTGTTTTATCCTTTGTTGTGGTTATAGATTGATTGTTCTTGCAGCAGTTCCTCTTTCATACTGTACCCAATTCCTAGAGATCCTATTTAACAATAAAAGGTAAAGGATTAAGGCATATGATGGATGGCAGAAGTGTATTTTCTCTTCAGAAGATAATGCTTTCCATTTATTTGCAGCCATCATGAGGAGTTTTTCTCTGCTACAGGAATCCATAATTCCATACATCCCTTCTGTCATCACACAGCTCACACAGAAACTGCTGGCTGTCAGTAAGGTAAAGAAACAGAACAAAAGGGTCACCTTTTGTGTTTTAGAGCAGTCTTACTAAAGACTTCTGTATACCTTGGTGGTGGTGTTCTGTTAGAATCCTGTAAGGAGTTCAGTATTTTCTGACTAAACTAAGTTGGAACAGTCTTCCAGTGAGGTACTGCCTTCCTTTCAGGACATACTTTCGGGTCATCCTCCCCTGATCTCATGTGAAATTTAGAAGCAGAATATGAACTCTTTCTGCAGTGCTAGTTTGTGGTAGTATAAATGTTTGCTTGTGCACAGGCCACCGTTGCAATAATCTGTTTTTCTCACAACTCTGTTATTCTTTGCCCGTGAAACTTCTGAAGCTAATATTAAATATTGGCATTGAAATGTGGGATTAAATTAAATAAATTACCCTCCTGGTTTTGGTGGGTAAAAATCTCTTAGTTTTTTGTTCAGGCTGGGCTAATTCTTAACCATTAACATTAGGGAATGCCTTAGAGTACTTTCATCAACTGTCCAAAAAATGAATTCTCTGTATAGTTTAAACACAGCTGCAGCATGTAAGAAGTGTTCAATACAGAATTGACTGGACACTTAGAGGACTGGAAAATAATTTTTTTCCAGTTTTTGTTTTGTGATATTTTAACTGTTTGCTAGTTTATATAGAGCTTCTGAAAAACACATGTCTTTAAAATATTGATTAAAAAAGCTCTCCTTTATGCTTTGAAGGTTTTTACATTTGCTTTTATCTCTGGAATTAACGTCACAAGCATATTAATAAAGAAGTTATAAGTATCCTTATTTCCAAATGCTACTTTAGACTTCGGTTGAACTAAAAAACACATTTAGCCAAATAAGCGACTTTAGTTGGAAGTTTTGTTTGTTTTGTGTGTTTCTAACTTGTTTTCAGAATCCCAGCAAGCCCCACTTTAACCATTACATGTTTGAGTCCATCTGCCTGTCGATCAGGATAACGTGCAAGGCGAACCCAGAGGCTGTGGGGAGCTTTGAGGAGGCCTTGTTCCTGGTGTTCACTGAGATCCTGCAGAATGATGTGCAAGGTAATGGCAGCAGGGAGTGCCTGGGCTCTGTGACTGCACTTGCTTGCTGGGATTTACCTCATGGCAGGTTTTCTTGTAGCACAGGAAGTCCAGGGGAGGACACAGCACTTTCACAGTCCGAAAGTGTTTGGGTTGTTCCCAAAAAATAGGGTACATCAACAGCATTCACTTATTTTTGAATCAAATTGTATTTTTAAAATATCTGGCAATCACTACTCCAAAGCCTCTTATTATTCTACTTAATTGTATTGCCTTGTTTCTGGTAGTTTGTTTTCTGTGTTCTGAAGCATTAGTAGGTAGAGGAAATAGAAAATGAATATATACAATGCTTGCCAGTTTTTTTGAATAATTAACTTTGGGAAGTGATACATTTCTCCAGTGTTTTATTTGTTGGAATCCTCATGTTAATATCATATTATTGTGGGTTCAGTCAGTGGCTATGTGGTTCCTGGGAACTGACAGTGACCGTGTTGTCTGACTCAGTAAATTTCATCACTTCTCTTCCAGAGTTCATTCCGTACGTGTTCCAAGTGATGTCCCTACTTCTAGAAATGCATAAAAATGAAATCCCATCGTCCTACATGGCACTGTTTCCTCACCTGCTTCAGCCAGTGCTCTGGGAGAGGACGGGGAACATCCCCCCGCTGGTGCGGCTGCTGCAGGCGTACCTGGAGCGCGGGGCCAGCACCATCGCCAGCGCCGCCGCCGACAAGATCGTGGGTTCCTGCCTCTGCACGGGAGGGGAGGGGGCAGCTGGGGAGAGCTGGGCTTTAGGCAGCAGCTGGGGGGAGCTGGGCTTTAGGCAGC